TTCACGACTAATATTTTCTGTACACTCAACTGCTTCAAAGAATACCTAAGAGTATCTAAGTAATACACATATCATGCTCCTTGTAGGATGAGTGAGGTTGCGAGTTTTTATACAATGTAGAAGTACTCGAAATCTAACTATAATTTTATTGTACCATGTTAATAAAAGCTTACTTATTTGCGATTTCATAATCAATAAGTATTCTCCTAACTAGAAGTGAATAGTTTATTGTGTTTGGAAGTAACACAATGAGTAGTTTTTAAAGCTTAGCACCCACATTTTCTTGTACCTGACTAGTCTATTTTTCATTCATTCACTTTTCAGTCATTCACTTAAGAAACAAATCAAATAGTTTTGCAGTAATATCTCAGAATAAGCAACTGAAAAGCGACAGGACATCATAGAGAAACCTTCATTGTTTCTGGAGGGAAAAATACTCTTTGTATATATTCTTCACTCGATACTTGTTAAACGAATGATTGAAAGATGTAGAACTGTCTAAGAAGTAAATCTTATCAGCAAGCTCCCGCTGAATACGAAGCAAAAGTCCAGATTATATAGTTTTCATATCACGTACTGATCTTAGTCAGACCACTACTGAAAACTTAGAAACTTAGCTCATTCCCGATATAATGTGACGTTAACCCCAATACTCAAAACTAAAGTTAAATTACATTTAACATTTACATTTATAATCGCAACTGCACACAAATCAGCATTCTGCATCCACACAAGTATGATGAAATAAATTACAAGGTATAATACTTGCAAAACTCTATGGCATTCTTATCTAGTCAATTTTCAAAAGGGTTGTGAAGAACAAAGTACTCATTTTTACTCACCTAATGGACCTTGTGAATAAACCACGTTCATGCTTATCAAGAAAATCACAAACAAATATTGGATCTGAAATGAAATATGAAGATGAACAGGTTAACTGGGTTAAGTGTGACAGGAAGAAGATGAATTGTAATAGTGATCAATGACATAATATGTGTTGCAGTGATAAGACATCATCATTATGATGAAGTAGTAACTTCAAACTGAGACAAGAAATCCAATATCAAGTAATGAGTATGGCAAATCTACAGGCCACATTCTCAGGTAGTGGGCGAGGAAGAGTAGTAAGAAGTACATTCTAATCGTATCAGTTATCAAGTTCATTACTCATTGCCATGTACATATTGTTTACAGTGAACTTACATTCATTGTAATTGTTGATTGGAATCGTATTCTGTTAGGACACGAAATTCTTTTTCCTTATATAGTTTGAATGATCACAGTGTTAACACTTTCGTTTGTGTTGAAATGTTCAATGACGTTGAAATGTCATAAATTAGTTTGTTGAAATCGAAATTGATTACCTTAATTATCGTTTTCATTTCTAATGATCAGATATTGACCAAAAATTACTTGTCTATAATTCATTGATATTACTGTTCAAAGTATCGATATGTATTTGATTTAGTTTTGTTCATGATTAACGATTATTGAGTAATACAACGAACTAATAATACACGACATTAAAGTTCACATAGATTAATTTCATGTGCTATTGGGAGTGTGTCACAATTCTGGAAGTGATAATAATTTTTTTACAGTTTTATTAATTGACCATGCAATTTTATTTCAGTAATAATCTTAGGAATATGGTGATGTCTTAAAATTCATTCAAATTTAGAAAACCTAGTAATATTTTGACTCTCAAGTCTTTTGATTGCTTATAAAATTAAGATTTTCCATGTTATATCACAGTTAACTTACAGAGGATGTGATTTCGTGATAAATGTGGTACATTTACGATAACAGAGAGGGAAATATTTGGGTAGTTACAATTTTAAAATGAGTTGATCAAGCGTATAAAAATTCCCGATTTTCACTTTGCAAAAAAAAAACATTGTTCTCAGATTGTAATTTTGAAATCCTCATGTTTACTGATACTCTGACATATATTCATTCCATATCTTAAACTGTGAATGATAAAACTTTATTCTTGAACTATAAATCAACAACTTTGTCTTTCTAATCTTACTCTAAAATGACTTACAATACTAATGAAGAATTTGGCGATTTTCCAAAAGTTTTTGAGCTTTTACAGCTGTTCAGATAGGACAGGTAGTCGGTTCTCGAAATGAACGGATTTGCTTTACAGTAGTAGCAAGCTGTAAAGAACTTCAAAAGAGTAATTGTTTATTTAAATTCTTTTGTCCCAAGTATTATTCTTAGTTATTTTCTCAAAATTCTCGTTTAAAGTACTATTTTTGACTAGATAACAATGGACTAAAAATTAATCGCGATTGTTTTTACGCTCATCTGTGTACTTGTAATTTTACCGATATTTCTAGATGTACTTAAATTGCTTATATTCCATATTCTGGACACTAGAGTGTTATTATGGTCAGATATCGATATAAATGTTTGAGTTCTAAAGTTATTATTTCTCTGCTCAATCAACATTAGACAAACGCTAAGTAGCAGGATAAATAATGATGAAAATCACACATCATACAAGTAGTTTTGGCTACTATTAGACAAAGCTACTAGACATTATCAGCAGTGCGCATCCACGACTTGTGCTGCCCCGCGCGAACGCCTAACCTCTGGAGCACTGAGCTGGTATCTAACGGCGTTAACGTCTAACTTCGATCAACTCGCAGTCTTGCGCAACCTCATACACTGTGTTCTGTAGTTACTGTCTACACCCGAACAGGTTGAACTTCACTGGTCACGACTTTGCACTAGAACTCAGAGAAGAATGCTCACAAAGCTAGTCACTAGTGAGCACAGCTAAATAAATGTTATTAACATCGAATTCAAAGCAATAACTTGAACCTGATGGTTTAAACGTGCTCAATAAATTTCTTTACATGTTAGTATAAATTTAAGTGTTATTATTCAGTATAAGGCACTACTTTTCATTTCATTGAATGATTGATCAGTGAATCATCTTATTGTTAGGATATTCATCCAATATCCTATTGGTTAGTTCCTACTGGTCAATTTTATGGTCGTCTTGACTATCGATATCACAGACTTCGATGCTGTTTCTCATTCGACCTAAATGTATAAATACGCATTATCTGTAACGTTCTATGACCCGGATCCTTAGTCCGGGATGCTGGTTCTCTTCTGAACTCGGACCTCGTACTTTTCAGATGCTTGTAGAATACAGGTTCTACTTCATATCAAGTCTTCTTCTTTTATTCAATGAGGGTTGAGACAATTGGATTAGAGTAGCCTGTCGTGTCTCCGGATCCTCGATCCGTGGTCTCATTTTCTGACTTTGGTGAACTTGTAATAGTTCAAGTATATCAAATGACTTGTTTACGTGCATGTGTAACACTTATTATCTTGCATTTGAGAAGATTAAAACCAAATAATGACAATCTATTAATAAAACCATTAAGATCATTTTTAATTCATTCATAAAAAAGTAGCTTTTTATTTATAATTATTCCGAAATACATAATTTCCAATTTTATTTTTGAAAGAAGTGTCCGAAATTTCGATTTAGTAATTTGAAATTTTTGTGAATTTTTAATTTTCTCGAATTCATTCTTATCGTCTAATTTGGATTAAAACATTTATAGAATGTGTTATATTTAATTAAGTAAATAAGTAGATGAATTTTGTGAGAATATTGGTAAATAATAATTGTTTTCTATGAAGATTATCAACGATTTCCAAGGCGTGAACGATTTGTTGACCATTTTAATGGTTTCAGTATTATTATACTACAAGACTTTGAGTTGTTTAAGTAATCATACGCTGAACAGCATTTTAAATGCTGGTAAGTATTATAAATTATGGAGAGTAAGTGTAACATGGAATTTTCATCAGGGGTTTTGGAAATATCGTGTAAATGATTTGAATTTTAAATGATGAAGTTAATCAAACTTAATATTTATCCTAAAAATAATTTATTGTTTACTTATTAAAATTATAAATTGTTTGTGTTGAAATATATGAAAGTTTTAGTAAAAATAACTGATTACACGATCACATATTAATTCATTACATAAAAATGTCGCTTTATGTCTTCAGAAACAACAGATTCATTTTATAATGACAAATCGCACAATGTAACCAACTAGTAACCAGCTTCTTGAGGAAATTCTCGGAGTTCTAATGAGAAGACGTGATAAATACAATTCAACTCTGTCCGGTGTAGGCAGCAGCTGCCGAAGACAAATGAGGGAAGTCGCGCATAGATTTACTCGCTTAGAATGCAAACGGTGACGTGTCGGTTTCGAAGTAATACTAGTTTCTGATGCAGCAACCAAATGTACTGAAATTTTTCTACACGGTAAAAGATACAAACTAAGTTCAAATGAACATTTGTTATGTGATGGTGGACACTGTTCAGGCATAATTCTACATCTGGCTTCTTTGAATTAGTTTTAGGCATTTCACTGCACAAATATACTTCTTCATGATCAGTTGATGAACAGCAGCAAGTTCCTTGCTGATCTT